GGACTCCAAATCAAGTGAATTTTTTTTTGAACTTGACTAATTTCTCGCTGCCTTTCCAACAGTGTACTTGGTTGTATCCGGATCTTCATAAAAAATTACCAGTTTACCCTTTTAGCCTTAAGTGCTCATTTTTTTTCGTCATGCCGTTTCTCCTTTGTCCGAACTCCGAATCATGTGATTATTGAGTCTATCTTGATTAGTTTTTTATTGTCTTTCTAGTGGTGTGATTGGTGACACCCGAATTCATATTTTAAGAAAATTACCATTTTGCCCCTAGGGGCTTATTTGTCATATTTTCGATCTTTTGCTTCTGCATCAGTTCTCATTGAGTTCCATGACCTCATGGAAGGTCACTTTGACTTCTTAGAATCTTGTTTTCTGTTTTCACTTCCGCATTTGGATCTGTTATTGGGTCAATCTTTGGTTCATCACATGACGCACTAGCTTGAAAAACCAGGGCCGTCACAGTCACATTGACCAACAAGGAATCCTTCACCCTAATGTGCATCACCATTTTGATAATATTCAAGTACCATTAGGCATGCCAAGACCCTCATTCCACAACAACAAGGCCATGTCCCAATGGGAATACCTCGGCCAAATTTTGTTCCACCCCAACCTCCCATTGTTCATGGAAACCATGGTGCTCGTGTAGCGCCACCGGTTGTGAATCCCCCTCTTGCTTTGAGAGATCATTATGTGCCAAATGAGTACAATGCACCAACATGCATTCAATTACCTCTATTTAGAGCACACCATTATGAAATCAAACCACAAACTATTCAAATGCTTCCCAATTACCATGGGCTTCTGAGTGAAGAACCTTATAAACATTTGGATGAGTTTCTTGAAGTATGTTTCACCGTGAAATACACAGACATGCCGGAAAAGGTTTTGCGGTTAAAACTCTTCCCTTTCACCCTTAAAGACAAAGCAAAATAGTGGTTCAACAATCTAAGGCCATTTTTATTAACTTCTTGGGCAAAGATGCAACAAAAGTTCTTAAAAAAGTACTATCTAGTTTCAAAGAATAATGCAATGAGAACTTCAATTCGAGAATTTTCTCAAGGGGAAGGGGAAATGTTTCACGAGGCATGGGAGTGCTTGAATAACTTGCTTAGGAAGTGTCCACATCACGACATTTCCAAATAGCAATTGGTTCAATTTTTCTTTAAAAGCTTGTCGGATAATCATAAAGGAATGGTAGATGCCTCTAAAGGTGGTTCATATCTTGATAGGCATGAGGACAATGTATGATGTCTATATGAGATCATGAGTGAGAATTCAATGCATCGATCCTTGTCTTCCAAAAATGATAGAAATCTAGGTGGATGGAAGAATGTTGGCTTGTATCAAGTTGACCATTCCAATGATATAGCTGCCAAAGTGAAATCTTTATCCTAAAAGTTTGATCAATTTTTGATCAACCAAAATTCGGCGAATCAAGTATCTTCCTCCCATAGTTATATTCATCATACTTCAAATGAATCATGTATGACTTGTTCTAATATTTTACATTCTACTTCCAATTGTTCCCATGAACATGTTCAAAGTGAGCACCATGAATAAGTGAATGCCGCATTTGTCAACCAAGGGAATAATCCCTATGGCACTCGTTACAATGCCTAGTCAAGGAACCATCCAAACTTCTCTTGGAAAAGCCAAGGTGAAGGCTCAAACCCTCCCCAAAGAGGTTTTCAAGGCAAGTATGTTCCACCCCTAATGCAAAGCCATGGTTCCCAAGGCTATAGATCATCTTACCAAGCACCACATGGAAACCAATTTTCAAACACTCACTTTCTAAATCAATCTTCATACTCTCAAGGGAATTCAAAGAGTCCTGATGAGCGCTAAAAAGTGCACATTTAAACCTCTTAAGCTTAGGTATTCTAGACCTTTTATCTATATTATTTTCCTACTTTGTATTGATTTCGTGTTATTTCCACTTTCAGGTATTTATCCCCAAAATAAGCTAACTCAGCCAAATAAGAGCATAATTGAAGCAATTCTGGGATGAATCAAAGAAAGGAGCAAAGTAGAGCAAAAGGAAGCAAATGGTGGAATTTCAGCAACTTTCATCGATCTCAAGAAAAGTTCGATCGATCTTAAGAAAAGTTTGATCGATCCAACTTTCATCGATCTCAAGAAAAGTTCAATCGATCCAACTTTCATCAATCTCAGCACTCTAAGATAGATCCAGACCATGATGTCATCTGTAGGGATCCCAAAAGTTCAATCGATCCGACATCATTCTCTGATCGATCGAACTTTCTTATCCTTATCCACATGCCAGATCTTATCCAGCTGTACCACCCTACCAACCACTTTTGTCCTTTTCCCAAAAATATCTTCAAAATATCTCAGATTTGTTTTTATCCAAAAAGGCGCTGCCATTGAGGATCGATCCCGCTTCAATTCGATAGATCTCAGCCATGTTCGATCGATCTCACCTCAAGTTCGATCGATCGAACTTTCCAAATCCCGAGAAAAATCCAAATTCTAGCTCATTAAAAGTTATCTCATATCCAATCATTAGAGGATTATTGGTATATGAGCCCAGCTCATTGGGGGTGATTTTTGACCTACCTATATAAGGAATATGAGCCACTTTTACACATATACACATACCTAGAGAAGATAATACTTAGTGAGGAAGCAAAAGAGAGGAGGAGGCTAGAGACACCATTGGAGACTCTTCATCAACCAAGGAGCAGATTTCTTCTTGCCCTTGAGGGTTGGAGGACATCATCCATGAGTGGCTAGACATCCTCTTGGGTCTAGAGTTAGCCCTAAGCATGTTTTCTACTTCTTGATTTATGTATTTTTGAGGGGATTTGTATTGTGATACATGTTTTGACACTTTCATATATATAGATCTTGTTTATTCAATGATTTATATGGTTTAATGCTTCTAATTGATCATTTCATTCTATCTATATGTCTATGTATGCTAGAATAGATGTTCATGTGTTTGTCTCTATTTCTTGTGTTATTGATGTATGTCTATGTGTATTGATGCTATAGATCTAGAGATTGTTATGACATAGTGCTTAATGGAATGTTCTTGTAGTTTATTTGATGGTTCATACTCGTTTCTTAATGGATTGTACCTCTCCCTTAGTTTAATTAGTTTAATTTCATGTCATTATCTTAATTATAGTATAGTTGTAGTTTAGATGTTAAATGGGAGGACAATCCATGCTTGTTGTTGATGTTCCATACTTATGAAAGCAAGTACCATATTTCTCTAACCTTGTGATGTGTTTAGATTGTGAGCTTAAAGAAGGGATTAATGGCTTAATTTGATATGTTGTGCTATCCACCATGTTGTTTAGACAATATATGCTTAATTTGTCATCCATGCTTGTTGGAACAACTACACACACACACCTTGTTGCAATACATGTTTTTCCCCTCATTAATCATTCATTAAAGGTGTAGAAAAGCTATGCTTGGTGGTGATCTCTAAACCCCAAGATCTCTCTCTCTTTCATTCTCTTTATTGCATTATTGTTTACTTTAGTTTAAGTTGCTTCTTAGTTTAATTCCACCAATGAACCACTATTTTGATCACTCAACCTACTAACCCTAATCTTGATTCCTCAACCTAGTACGACCCTTAATCCCTTGGGACGATCCCTCCTTACTCATACTACATAGTATAGGTGTTAAGCGGTTTATAAATTTAAATTATGGTGCCCACTTGACACTAATTTCCAAACTCAAAGTGTTGTGCATTATTTTATGCGCACGCTCGGGAAGTCATCATAGTTTTTGGCGCCGTTGCCAGGGATTGATTGATTAGCAACGTCGTATTTATGGAATTAATTAGGAATTAGTACTCCTTTGATCGTATCTTTACTTTATTTTCATTTCAATTTTTGTTACTTATTGTGTTGGTTCTTGTTTGACTAGGAGCATTTGGCTAAGAAGGTGAGCAAAGGAGTATTCCAAGCAAAGGAGCTAAGCAAGCAAAGAAAAAGGGTAAAATCATATAAATAAAAAAAAAATTGCTAAGCTAAAAGCTAAAAATTTGGAGATGAACTACTAAAGGACCTTTGTGAGCTTTTTCTTACTCAAACTCTTAGTTAAATCATCGGCCTACGTGGAGGCTTGTATTTCAATTCTTAGATAAATTGTGAGCCCACGTGGAGGCAATTTACTTTTCTTGCATATTGTTAAAGCATGGGAGTATGTGAACATTGTATGTAGAGGAAGTTTGTTGATTATTGACTTGTTGTGAAGGTGAAGTGTTTGTCATTATTTCCTGTTATGTTGCATTGTGCATGCATGGTCGTAGATCATTGAGACCTACTCTTGTCCCTTTAAATTTTCATCTTGAATCCATTGTTCGAAACCCTAGGGGAAGAGGTTGTTCTAGTCAATCCATTTAACAATGGAAGGACACAATGAGGACCATGTGGAGGACCTTGGTCACATAGACCAACAAGGTATCCTCCACCCCAATGTGCATCATGATAACATGCAAGTACCATTAGGCATACCAAGGCCATTTGTTCATCCATCACAATAACAAGGCTAAGTCCCATTGGGAATGCCAAGGCTTAATCTATGCTGCACCACCTCCTATCATTCAAGGCAATCATGGTACCCATGTTGCACCTCCAATTGCTAATCCTCCCCTTGCTTTAAGAGATCACTATGTGCTTAATGAATATAATGCACCCACATGCATTCAATTGCCACCATTTAAAGCACACAACTATGAAATCAAGCCACAAACCATAGAAATGCTTCCTAACTATCATGGACTTCCAAGTGAAGAACCTTACAAGCATTTGGATGAGTTTCTTGAAGTATGTTCCACCGTAAAATACACGGGCATGCCGGAAGAGGTCTTAAGGCTCAAACTTTTTCCATTTACCCTTAAAGACAAGGCAAAATATTGGTTTAACAATCTTAGGCCTTTTTCAATAACTTCTTGGGCGGAAACGCAATAAGAGTTCTTGAAGAAGTACTATCCGGTTTCTAAAACCAATGCCATGAGAACTTAAATTATTTAATTTTCACATAGGGATGGGAAAACATTTCATGAGGCATGGGAACACTTTAATGAATTGCTTAGGAAGTGTCCACATCATGACATGCCCAAATGGCAATTAGTTCAATATTTCTTTGAGAGCTTACCGGATAATTACAAGGGCATGGTTGATGCTTCCATGGGTGGCTCTTACATTGATAGGCACGAGGATGACGTGTGGCGTCTTTATGAGAGCATGAGTGAAAATTCTTTGCACCGTACTTTATCTTCAAAGAATGGTAGAAATTCTAGTGGTAGGAAGAATGTTAGCTTACATCAAGTCGACCACTCTAATGAAATTGCCGCCGAAATGAAATCATTATCTCAAAGGTTTGATCAATTTTTGATCATCCAAAACTCGGCGAATCAAGTATCTTCCTTCCCTAACCATTCTCATCATGCATCTAATGAGACATGTATGACTTGTTCAAGTGTTTTACATTCTACTTCCAATTGTCCCCATGGACATGTGTAAAGTGAGCATCATGAACAAGCAAATGCTGTTTTTGCTAATCAAGGGAACAATCCTTATAGCAATCACTACAATCCTAGTTAGAGGAATCACTTAAATTTCTCTTGGAAAAACCAAGGGGAAGGCTCAAACCCTCCCCAAGGCTGTTTTCAAGGGAAATACATTCCACCTCCACTACAAAGCCATGGTTCTCAAGGTTTTAGATCATCATACCAATCACAAGGAAACCAATTTTCAAATTCTTATTTTCTTAATCAACCATTATATTCCCAAGAAAATATTAGAGTCCCGCTTTTGAAGGGAAATTTTTGACCGCTCTAGGCACTTTAGAGGCAAACACGCAATTACTTCATTCTCACTCTCAATCTATTGCTAAGCTAGAAACCCAAGAAGAGCAAATAGCTAGCACCTTAAATGCTAGAGAGAAAGGAAAAATGCCTTTGAATGCCCCACAAAAGCAATAATGTGTTGTGGAGACTCACTCCTCATCGGAAGGTCACACAATAGAGCATGTCTGTAATGACCCGGTCATTTTCATTCCTTTCCCTTTTCTCAGATTTTCACAGATATATTTTTCTGTTGATCTTTTCCTTTCTGAGTTCAGTTCCTCGTTGCTTAGTGTCATCTCGAGTGCTCCGGAGTGATTTTTGAGACTCTTTTCTTTAGATTGACAACTTCCTTTAAGGACCGAGTTAATTCCACATTTTTCGTTTTTCGACACTATTTACTTTTCGTCTTTTTCCCTATTTCGTCATTTTCCCTATTTTGTCTTTTCCCCGTTTGTCACTTTATTTGCAAACCACACTTCTTGCGTCCAGAGTTGGTTTTTGACTTCATGTATCTTCATTCTAAGTGGTTTCCATGAAATACATATCGTTACTTTTGTAAGAAAGTACTCTAGTTGCTCCTGGTGTCCATAGGGGCATGGATGCATAGTTTTTCAGAATCTTTTTCTTTTCTTGGGGCATTTTTCATAAGTATCTTTTGAAGATATTTTATTTTAGGGGTTTTTAAGAAAATATTTTTGGAAGATATTTTCATTCTGGGGCAGTTGTGCAGTTTTCACTTTTTGGAGAGGCCATTGTGCAATTAACGAAAGTTATTACAAAAATACCTCGTATGGAGTTTGGAGTCTGGATCCGCGTACGGGATTTATTTTCACATTTCTTCGAGTCGTGCACTCTTAGAATTTCCTCCTGGTCATTTTTCTCCAGTTTCACGATTTCTGGCCCTAGTTGCCGCCGAACTTGTTTGGGGCATAACTTTCTGCTCAGGACTCGATTTTTGACACCGTTTCTTCCGTTGTTCATTTTTTCTCATTTTGAATCTTTTTTGTTCATAGAGTTTTTCCGTTTGAGTGTGTCTGCTCAAATTCCACTTTTCTAGACCCGGCGGGGCCCTTTCGGGGCACTTTTTGAGATTTTCTATAAATATGGGACTTAAAAAGAAAATATCAGATTTTCTTCTCTCTCTCCTCTCTCTTGGCAGGCAGCCATGGCTGCCAAGGGGCTGCCACCCTTCTTCTTCATTTTTTGGCCACTTCCCTCGAGTGAAACATCGTAGTGCCTTAGTGTTTAATGCTTTTCTTGATGTCGCGCATCTTTCACCCTTATTAGAACTCATTTCTGACCATTTTTCGAGTTTGGGTTTGAAGTCAAGTTGTGATTTTGATGGGGCTTCTTGGGGATTCTTGTGCATCGTGTTGTCTCCAACAAAACCCTTCGGTATTGTCGAATTCGGAGCACTTTTTTTTCGGTTGGCTTTTGAGATTTTCATCTCAAATTAAGGTAGGGAATATTTTAGGATTTTATATATGTTGTATGGAGTGTTTTCCATGATTATACAACTTGTATGCATGCTTTTGTTCAAGTCTTAGAATTAAATTTAATTATTTTCTATGGTTAGGATTTAATTCACATGATGATGTATAACTTAGATTTAAATTGTGGCATGCTAGAAATTTTAGTTTTAATATGTTTGTTAATATATATTAAATTGGGATTATTTAAATAAGAATTGCGTTTTTTATTTAATATTTTTCTTTTGGGAAAGCTTAATTCCCATGGCCGTACCTTGCATGAAATTAAGTTGTAACATGCTTTTAAATCAAGTCTTAACATGTTCTTTAACATACTTTAATTTGAGAGCATTTGGATAAGTATGAAAATCTAGAGATTTTAATTAAAATGATAAATTAAAATCTATTTAAACGTTCCATTAATTTAATTAAGTTTTTGACTTGATAATTGTGAGGACTAAGACTTGTATACTAGCATATATTAATTTAGGACCATTTGGTGTTGTTTTAGAATTTAGGGATTTAATTATCATGTTTTAATTAAATTCTATCCTATTGATCCAATGACCTAAGTAAGCTTTTGACTTGATTCATGTAATGAATAAGTTATGTTATTAACATGTGTTAATTAGGGTTCATTTGATTGAGATATGAAACTTAGAGAAATTAATTAGGTTATATAATTAATTTTCGTTTCTATTGCATTACTGATTAAATCATGTGTTTAACATTGATATTATGTTTGAAGCATGATTCTAGACTTGTAATGGATTTATGCAATTATGTTTCAATATTGAATTATATTGTTATAGCGTGTAATGAATCGCACACTGAAGATTCGACATGTGATGTTATTATAGCACGTAACGAATCGCGCTCTAAAGATTCGACATTGTCATCCTATAGTAGTTGTAGATTTAGAACATGTATTGTGTGGTTTCAACCTACTTGTGCATGGAATGTAGTTTCGTGCTGTATATATATTTTTCATATATAAGTTGTTAACTTATTTTTTTTGTAGTCACTTGGGACATGGTTACTATAACATGGCTAGAGTTTGGCTCTAGTGCGGGAGGTATGAGTTCTTCCCGTTGAGATAGTGCGCACTAGGGGTGGTATTACCAGCGGGTTAGTCTCCGTAATAGCCGTTGAGGTCTCGGCAGAATTCCGAGCTTAGATGTCCAAGTGTTCCACTACTTGATTTCGCACTTTTAGATTTATAGTTGATAACCTAGAGAATATATGTCTTGATGTGTGGTATTAGATATTCTAATTATACTAAATTGTTATATTTAGTTGATTTCGCGCTTTTAGATTTCAAGTTGATAATTTTGAGAATCTATATCTTGTTGCTTGGTATAGCATGCTTTTATGTTGGTTAAATTGCATAGATATTATGATTCGCATTTTGTTGTTCATTTGTGATTTAGGAATGATCCTATAGATTCATTTGGAACATAGACGTTAGGTGGCATGACCCACTTTAGTCATTTACACACTTTTAGATTTCAAGTTGATCACTTTGATGATCTATGTCTTGACATGTGGTACTAGAAACTCCAATTTATGTTAAATGGTTATATTTAGTTGTTTACACATTTTAGATTTCAAGTTGATGACTTTGAGAATCTATATCTTGTCGTTTTGTATAGCATGCTTCTATGTTGTTTGAATTACATGAATGATATGTTTTATGCTAGAAATGATCTTAGGCAGCTTAGGATGCTCCCTGAGTCTCACCTTTGACATAGACGCTAGGTGGAATGAACCACGATGTTTAAATCATGCAAACATGTAAAATGTTAGGTCGATGCATGCTCATTTCCTAAGAGTAGCTATATGTTGCTCACCCCAAAGTTACTAGGGCATATTTCAGGTACAGGATACAAGATTGGAGATTTGCACTTACTTTGGTGATTTGCAGAATTGAAGTTTCTTTAGAAGCATTCTTGTTCACCTGCAAGTGTTAGCATGTTTAAGTTTTGCCTATGAAATGTAATTTTTACAACTTAGAGGTTTGACATGTTAAATGTTGTAAATGAATTGTAATAAGGCCATAGGCCATTTCAGCATGTTTAAAATGTTGTTTTACACTTGCGTATATGTTCACATCATCACACACTTGTATATAATTAAGTTTGATCATACAATGTAGGATTCAACTGAGGCTTAAAGTCTCTTTTTTAGTTTTGGTGTACGTGGTCTAGTTTAAACTAGACTTTGCCCCTTTGGTTGTCATTGGTGCCATAGGGTACCATTTGGCCCTTTTCATGTTAGTTTTCGCTTCCAGTTATTTCTTTGAGCTTCGTGACTTCATGGAAGGTCACATTGGTGTCTTGGGGATGGTTTATATCTCTATAGACTTTGGTTTTATCTTTCGCTTCCACATTTCGGATCCGTTATCGGGTCAACTTTCGATTCATCATTGATATACCGGGTTGAAAAACTTGGGCCATCACAATGTCAATGCGGTGACTACCTTGAGAAGTGGAAAGATTGTGGACAACTAAGTGGGTATGTCCAATGAAGAGAGTGAACCGGTGCAACCACAAGTTGACACCTGTCCCGTTTCATATCATATTCCTCATTCATTGCATGTGCATGACCATACAAATGAGAATGTGTTGAAAAGTGATTTTGAAAAGAGAAATTTGCAAAATGATTTGAAAACTTCTTGTGTTGAAGAGACTTCAAAGAAAATTTTTGAAAAGGTTTTTGAGCCAAAAGCTCCATTCCCGGATGCCTTAAAAAGATCCATTTCAAATGACAAGCAAAAGGTCAAAGTAAATGAAATTA